CAAGAAATGATATTTAATAAATGTTTTTATAATAAAAGAAAAAAAATGGATTGAATAGGGCTGTTCCTTGCCACACATCTGGCCATCATGAGCAGAAATCAGCCTGAGGGCAACTGGTTTTTTGTTTGGGTTTTTGTTGTTTTTTTTTTTAACTAGTAGCACCTGATAGTTACTTAGTCAATGAATGAATTTCATGGAATTAGGGACTTGGAAGGCACATCAAAGAATTCATTATCCACAGCTCCATTTTTGTCCCAGAATGACAAATTTTTTCCCCAGATTGATGAAATTCTAATTTTTCAAGACCACAGACTTGCTCAGTGGGTTCTCTCTATAATGAAGGCCTCATTCTTAGGGTACTTTCTCCCCATCCCATTCCACATGCTGGGAAAACTAGTGGCATAATTATACATGCACACGCACACACACAATTCTGAGCTTTACAAAGTAAAAAGAAAAAGTGGGGGAAAAAGAGATAAAGAGACAAATTCTAGACAAAACCTATTGCTAAAGCTACAGTGCATTTTTTTTGTGTCAGATATTTGTCTTCTCTTATGAATGTCTTCCCCTCCCCCGAAAAGGATATGGTATGGAAACATGGTCGAGCAATACAGAGGTTAGTGAGAGGTTTTTGTCTTATAAAGCATTGAAATTACTTCCGTATGGTTGGAGAAAGACAGCTTTTTCTAGAATATAGGAGCATGTGTAACTGCATGAGGATTTTTTTTCATAGGTTTTGTCATTTCCTTTTTTTTTTTTAAAAAAAAGCTATAATTTACTCTGAATGAATACAGTAGCTTTATATATAAGACAATCAACCAAAATATGTGGCCCTCGAAATTTTAGCCCCATTGACTTCAACTTTCTGGATTAAGGCCAAATGAAAATCTCTTCCTTATGGTTTAAGAGAAAATAATCTGAGTTCTTTATTTTAGTTATGTAAATGTATTCATTGTTTTTATTAAGGCAGCCACATTCCAGTGTATATTCTGTGGTTCTTATCGCAGGGATAGGACTCTGAATGAAATTTAAGACGGAATCTTTTTCATTTAATATTTTGCTGGTAGGTGCCATGGAGTTGGCTCCAATACATAGCAAACCTAAGTATAACAGAGCAAACAAAGTCTTGCTAGATCCTGTGCCTTCCTCACAAGCTCTTCGGTGATTAAGCCTACTGTTCAGTCACTGCTAATCCATTCTGTTGATAGTCTTTCTCTCGCTCACTGACCCTCCACTTCTACACGCAGCATGTCTTTTTTCTGGGGACTGGCCCCACCTGATAATATGGCCAAAGTACATGAAATCAAGTCTCTCCATCTTTGTTTTTAAGGAGCTTTGCTTTTAAGATAGATTTGTTTATTCTCAATTTCTTATTTAAACAATTCAGTTCTTCTATAATGGGATGTCACCTTGCGGGATGTTTTAAGTACATGGTTTAATAACTTCAGGAGCAACTTACTCTTTCTCCTTTGGGACCTGCAGGGCCGTGAGGTCCCATAGGGCCATCTGTACCCTAAAAAAGATTAAAAATATGAGATATATCACAAGGGCTACAAACAAAAGCAGTTATCATTTATCCTGGGCTTTTTTTTCCCTGGGTGAGTGCAGCCCTAAGAAAATCAATAAGGCAAGTCATTTCCTTCCCCAGCACTTTACTTGATTCCTTCAGGCCACTGGTGTTCAAGAAACACATGCATAAAGGATGAATTATATAACTACCCATTTCAATGAAAAGATGTACATAAAAAGTCATCTGTCATATTTAATTATGCATTTGTTTCCTTATGAAATGGGATGTCTTCACTTTGCTCCCACAACCTGAGAAAGAAACATGAAACTGTTTCTCCTCCATATCACTTCTTCCTCATGCCCACTTTTCATGCCCGCTGCTGCAATCCCCATTTTTCTTGGCCAGAAAGGCTCTGGAGTTCTGTTCTCAGCTGGGATAAAGGGCTTGAATTTTCACACAAGGAAAACATATTATTAAATCAATGAAAATAAAAACAAACACTGTGTGGCTTGGTTGGGGCAGCAGAAGCTTAGAAGGAAGGAGAGATTCTTCCAGGTTCTGAGGCAGTGGTGGCTGAAGTCACTGGGCCCAGCCTGGAAGCTGAGGTGATTTAATGACACAACTGCCTTCTGGTCTCCAGTTTCAAGAGCAAGATTTCTTCAGTAAAGGAGGTAATAACTGAATGAATATGGAACAGTGAAGTCCAGAAAATGATAACTGCCTGAGCTTTGCAGTTAAAGAGGTATTTTGTGTGCTATTATTTTTTTAAAGTTGTTTTTTTTAAAAAGCAAAGAATTTAAGTATATTCACTCATAGACTATTCTTTGCCACACAAAGAATTTATTCCAGTATCTGCAGTTGCAGGAAAAATGATAACACTTCTCCTTGCCCCCCTCTGCCCCCAGAGTATTCCTAACTGTTTTACTGTCCTGGTTTATTTTGTCAGAGTTTATTTTGTGATCTGAAAACATTCAAGATTTTTCATTCTAATTAATTCACTCTGATGTGAATGAATTCTCCTTGTTTTAACTGATCTTTTTTTTTTTTTTTTTACTGCCTAAACTTAAAATTCGTCTTTTGGAAGACATCTGCACCCCAAGTATCTACTGCTGAACTTGAAGAGAAAGAGTTGTCAAGAGACAAAATGACAGAAGACAGACAAAGTCATTTCGATGAACGGAGATTTGAAAGTTAGTTCCAAGGAAGAGGTCACATTTCCAAGATATACATAAACACAAAAGGAAAAGCTTAAAAACAAAAGAACTAGATTCATATTTCCTTTCATCTCTTCAGAGCACCTCTTTCAAGGCATCACAGGGAACACCCTTGGGCTAAGGAAAAAAAAATGTTTGGGCTTATTAAGACAATAAAGTCAGGCAGGCAATACCAAGCAAATTATCCAGATTTGAACTCAGGCTTCAGAAAGGCATCCTGGTAGTTTAAATTGTATTCCAAACAGAATGGTTACCTTCCCTACAGTCTGACGCATCCCTCATTAATAGATAGGAGTACATCCAGCAAAGGGGTCTGTGCAGAAGCCCACCTTCCATTGCCACAAAGCATATGTGAGAGCAATACGAGGGACGGACTCACCCGGGATCCTGGCTTTCCGTCTAAGCCAGATGCTCCCTGTGTGGGATTTGGTTGGTAGCAGGGTTGGTGGGTGTAACACGAATGACAAGAACAGAGATTAGTATGAGGTGCTGATGAACAAATGCAACACTTTAAACAACAAAATAAGCAGTCACAGCTTCTGAGGTGAATATCACATTGCTACAAATTGTTAGTTTTTTTTAAAAAAACAAACACACATGACAATAAACACTTCACAGATGATGGCATTTTAATGACATTTCTATTAGACATATTCTTATTTGGAAATCAAGTTGATGAGGTTTATAAAGTAAACTACAAAGTAATTGCCAATAACACTCACAAGCTGCTGTCAAATCTCCATGTGAAATTTATTTTCTATTATTCACAATAGATATTCTTTAAGTTCTTAGGGGGAAAGAAATTACAGCCTATCTCCTAAGCCAAGACTCATTATGATAATCACTTAAATGTCACATTTCAGAAAACAAGAAAAAAATTCTAATTGTTAAAATAGTGTTTACGAATGTTAAATGCAGTTTTAACATACTGAGATGACTCTTGGATTTTACATGAGTACTCATTGTTTTCTGTGCTACTATAACTATTTATAATAATAACCACTAGGGGGACTTCTAGGAATAGGAAAAGAGCAGGAAGGGGGAGGAGGAGCCAACCAACACAGCCAAAACAAAATAGTCCTGAGACCAAAACAAAAAAAAATAAATAACTGTCCCAAACAAGACAATGTCTAATTTTAACTTAAAATAATACTTCCATTCAAGACTGAAAGAAAACACATTGTGTTTCTTTATTGTGACCTCTGGACTACATATCACTACCCAAAGCCTAATCTAAATCTACTGTAGATTCTAAAGATACTGCTATCTGTAGATTCTGGTTTATAGCAGCCCTACAAAGGATAGGACAGAATGGCCCCAGTGCTTTCCAAGGTTATAAATATCTACAGTAGCAGAATGCTACATCTTTTCCAGCGAACTGGCTGGTAGGTTCGAACCACTAAACTTGCTCTTTAGTTAGGAGCTGAGTTCTTTAACCACTGTACCACCAGTGGTCCTAACACAGCAACAGTGCAAGATTTTATAAAAAATAGATTTCCAATACTTGATGCTTGTTTCAAAAATAGGTACAATTAGTCTTTTGATATGGTTTTGTACCTCAAAACTCAAATATTTATTTATACTCCTTTAAGAATGTCAATTAAATAGAGAAATGGTTTTAAAAAGACAACACATTGGCCCTATAAATGCTCTTGGCAAGACTGTGGAACTATTTCTGCATTTTATGCTTCAGATGCAGCTAATAATAAAAGAGTAGGGGAAAAGATCTCTTCCAGCTGTAAACGTTAACAATGATGCTATACCATATATATTTGGGATATTTTTTGTTTTTTATTTTAAAACTACTTTATATAATGCTATTATGCTACATACCATAATTGCAAAATACATTTTCAGTTAGCAGTGATTAAAGTAAGAACATATATACAGTATTAAGTTGCTGCTGTTGATAATTTAATGTGACATAGGTAGAACTTAATGTCTAAAGGTTGCATAAGAATTACACTAGCAGGAGAGGTATCCACTTCCTAAACAACATGCCTCTGAAAACTCTATGAACCTTGAGAAATGACAATAGTTACGGAAAGGCTTCAGGTAAGGTTCATAGGGTCACTATGAGTTGTGCTTGATTCGACAGAAATCAACAACACTAGTATTAAATTTGGAATTAAAGCAAACTTGAATGAAATCAGAGTGAAATTTTAAATAAAACAGAAATACATAGTTATTTTCCCTTTTATACTTTCTTTAGAGTTCCTAAGTTGCTAACTAAAATAAAAAACTAAAAATAAATGAAGAAAATGGACAAATTTTTTTCACTGATAATATTATAGCCACTTGAAGTGCTGTATAAATTATTCACTTATAGAGATTTTAAGCCTGTGGTCTATTGATGAAATTGATATTATTTGATTTGTACTTAATATAAGGCTTCTTGCAATGATTTGCTTATTTACTCATTTGGTAAGTGAATGAACATTGAATATCTACTATATACCTGACTGGTGTAAAGGACTAAATATGAAAGACCTTATGCTATGTTATGTGTTTTTGAGTCAGAACTGACCCATGGGTGACCCGCCTGTGGGTTTTCAGAGGCGGCAAATCCCATGGGAGGAGACTGACTATCTTTCTCCCATGGAACAGCTAGAGGATTCAAACTATATGCCTTTAGGTTGGCAGCACAGCTCTGTATTACTACGCCACCAGATCTTCCTAATGAAGGACTTTAAATACTTGAAATTGTAGTACCCATGGGGAATGAAATAAGTATTCATCAATTGTGTATAAGTAATATTCTGTTATTGCTTTTCTTTCATATTTTAATAATGTTCTTTATTGACTTTTATGATAATACTTTTAACAAACCACAAGGGAAAATCTTGATACTGAAACCTTATATTCAGTTATACACACACACACA